CTGCAGTGCAAAACAAGTGACTGGCAAGTGTCCACAATGTTTCTTATTCCAAATCTTGATGCCTAGAAAATGATAGAAGTGCTGTACAATATGAAATAGCTCTGTCTACATAGATTTCTCTGTGAGGGACTCTATAAGATCAGGTCAATCAGTGACAATGACAACAGCAATGAAAGAGGTGGTGACCACAGAAGAGAAACTGAGAATAGATCAATGGGAGCTGGCCAATACCACAATAGAACAAACATCTTTTCCCACATAGTCAGGGTCTCTACTGTCTTTGCATGTCCTGCAGCTGTCCTATCTAGAGACCTAGACATAAAATGCCTCAGAACTTCCCCACCTAGGTTCCATTTTGTTTACATATGGCTAATATTCTTCCAAATTGAACTATTTGTATAAATTTTATATATAGTATATTTTTCTTCTAAAAAGTTATCCTTATTTTCATGCATTACTTGCTGTATACTGTCACCCTTTTCCTCTCCATCTTCCCTGTCCTCTAAGAATTCGTTCCCTCACATTGAAAAATAGACAGTGGAGACCCAGAAAAAAATGAGCTGACTGAAGGTGTGTCGCCATTGGCAACTGCCTACCAATGCTATCTAAACTCAATTCTTACATCTTTTCCCTAGACTCTTTGGAGTCCCTTTCCTTTCTCGCCACACAATTTGCAAAAAAAAAAAAAAAATGCTGAGAAAGACAGAAAAAAAAAAGAAAGGAGAGAAATATAAGACACTTGACAGTGGCCCTGTATTTTGAAGGACAGCTGTATGTCGCACCAAGGATGTCTCATGAACTCAACATAAAATTACCATTAAAAAATATTCATTCTCTGTTGATTTGTGAAACTGTCAGTTGTTTTCTGTTCAATTTGAGTTTCAGGTTTTTTTTTTTTTAAATATGCACTTCTCTCTCCTTAATTCAATCTTTCTTGTCTTATTTATAAAAGAGAAGCTGAAATTTTCACTCTCCAGGTCAAGTCTCTATACCCCAACAAATCTAGACCTTCGGATGATTTCTTTCCCAACCCCTAATCCATCTGTTCAGTAGCCCCCCCCACCAATTTGTACACATAATGAGACTGCTTCCTAAACTACACACAAATATGAAATCTGCAGTATTCATAATCCATAAGGCTGAGGCACTTTTTCAATGCGTCTGGGTGCATTCTGTGCAGCTGAGACCACATTATCATGCTTCCACAGAGCAAGACCTCAATCACATTAATCTGCTTAATTTCTTTTGTGAGTCCTTCCTTGCTTGTTAAGAGAGAGAGAGGAACAAGTTTCTCTGCAAAGATATTCAGAACTTATCTCACATCTTGTGAGAAGTGAAAGCCTCATTTTACAAAAAAAAAAAAAAAATGACAGTATAAATAAATGCATACAGCTCAACTATCTTTTGGGAAAAAATGTTTTGCCTTCTTAGAAACAGTGGGATAGCAAACTGGAGTTTGAAGGTAACTCAACAAAGAATGAAGATGATGCCAAGTGCTTTCTTGGTCCAGGAATTTAAACATGAACTGCCTTGCTGGAGACAGGTGGTAAATTCACTACACTCACTTCAAACCTAGGCTCTTCTCTAGGGCAATTTTTAGCTGTCAAAGCTGGATAGCTTCTATTGCTATTGTGGTTTTATTCAAAATATATTTCAAGGGGAAGTACAGAAATCTGAGGACCCTAAGTGTACTTCAAGGTCTGAATGAAGAGCAAACCAAAATGTGGATTTAGCACAGCTGCTCAAGAGAGCAGGTTTACCAGTGGTTACTTAAGAGTTTAAGGCAAAATGCAGTCCATGATAAGTTACAAGCATTTTGCAACAGTAGCTTCTAACGGACTTATTTTTCTCCCATGTCCAGACAGGGTCGTCTATTGAATGAAGCTCTTTTATTTTGCATGGGGCAAGGGATTTGTGACCATGGTCCCCCCTTTTATTCTTCTCTCTATGGAAACCCAGATCATGGGGAGAAATATGCAAAGCTGAATAAAGAGAAGCTGCAGAAAGGAGCGCTTGAGCGGCATCTGTTACACTTGGGAAGTTAGACTGACAGGACAGGGTGAAGGAAATGTCTCTAATAGATTAGTAAGAACAGAAGGATCTGACTACACGCAGATAGACTTTTTTAAAAAGCACCTTATATAAAGAGAGGGTTCTATCACTGCCACTACAAGATATGATTGCATATAAATTCAATAAACAATATCTATATTTATGGGAAACAATTTCTTAAATGAAAAAGAAAAATGAAGAGGAGGAGGAAGAGCAAAAGGAAAAAGAGAGAGACAAAGAAATGAGAGGAAAAGAAATAGGAAGAGGGGAGGGGAAAGGAGAGCAGGGAAGGGATGGGGAAAGGAGAAGAGAAAAAAAATAAAGAGGATGACAAATATTGTTTCTTCAGGTTTCTGCTCCCAACAGAAGCTATTCTTAAAGACTGCAAAAGCAAAGATAGTGAAAATCATTTTCCTAGGCTTAAATGACCCATCTCATTACTCCCCCTCCCCCAGCCTCCTGGCAAATGGTTTGAAATACTTTTACTTAGCTGGCAAAACCCAGTAACCAAAGCAGAATCCATGGATAAGAGAAAAGCTGATTGTAGAAACCCATACAAGACTGAATTGATAAAAGATGCCCTTTTTCAATCAAAAACCTTATCATTTGATAATTATTTTTATCCCTGTATTGTCACACTAAGGTTAGCAAATCTTTCACCTAGACACAGCTGCAAAATGTGACCATAATCATGTTCTACATATAAAATTTCTTCAATGCACTCTTCTCTGATCTGTAAGCTGACTCTACATAGACTGAAAACTGAATTTTGGAATGGGCAGCCTAACTTGTACTTTTGTGGATTTTACCAAATTATTATTTCTTTGGGAAAGAGAAGTTTAGGAAAAAATGAGACTGCATTTGTGCAAAGAAAGATGCACATATTTGGCAGTAAGAAATGAGTTCCCCTGCAGCAAAGAAAAGAGATAGAGACAGGAGAACAGAGAAAAAGAGTACATGTGCACAAAGAAGATGGAGGGAGGAAGAGAAAGAAAGAGAGATAGGGTGAAGGAAAGAGAGAAAAAGGAAAAAAATCTATTTCTAGCTTTAAAAAGTATACAAGTCCTAACAATTAGACATCTACAAATGCAGCTACAGTTTCAATGAAGAAGTAGGAAGAGACTAGCTAGAAGATGGCAAATGATATTGTCTGCCAATAATTACTAAGTGTTTAGTTTTTTTTAAGAACAAAAGAAATAAATAAATCTTAATAAATAGATCATGCCAGATTTTCCTACCTGATAAACACATATTAGTTTACTGATAGCAGTTCCTGACTTTGCATAAGAAGTCAATTAATTTCACAAGAAATAGATTTTCTTTATTTATATAAAGGAAAGGCAGAATAAGCTCACCTTAGATTTTTTTCTTTTTCTTGCATTTTCTTCAGATCAGTCTTCTCTGAGAAACTAATGCCTTAATGACTTTCTGGTAGCTGCAAGCCTTCTTTTATTTCTGCTAAATATATGAAAATGTATGCAAATTTAAATCAAGCTTAACCTAGGAGCTCTTGCAATATATTTAATGGAATTTCAAATCAATAAGGGAACTCTGATGCCATTTTCTTTAAGTGCAGATATAATTACGCAGCAAAGTTACCTCCAAAAGTATATAATGAAAAGTTATTTGTTTTAAACTTCAGATTTTGTGTTTGGTATCAGGTTGTTGCATTTCTGTTGCTAGAACAAACTTAAAATCTTTGCATGTTTCTGAACTCTGCTTATGAGGGAAGTCTTTGTATGATGTTTTGGAGTACAGGGACTTGTCATTCTCTAACAAGTCTTTTTTTCTCTCCTGTTTTTTGAAAGTGTAAAAGTAGTCCTGTTTTTCAAGCTTCACAGGGAAGAAAGGGTGAGCAATTTTTATTCCAAATAAACTGGTGTCTCTGCGTTTCTCAGGTACATTAAATGATTCACAATTTTTTTTTTTTAGTTTTGATAAGAGTTGGGGTGAGGAAATATTTTAAACAGTTTCCCAAGAGTACCCCATCAAGCAAAGAGTCCTAAATGTGTTCCTCCATACCTTTTGGGAGAGTGGTAAGTGTGAGTGAGGAGTGCTTTCCTCAGAAAGCACTTCCTTTCACAAAAGTTGTGGAACCTCTCCTGGGAGCTGATATGCAGCAATGATAAAGCAAAGCTTCCAGTTGACAAACCGAATTGGGAAGCAAACTTCAAAATAATTAAACTTTTGCCACAATCATATTCATATTAAATTTTGATTTCTGAGAATTTTTCAGTTCTTTATGTCTCAATCTCTTTTTTTTTTTTTTTTTTTTGTTTGTTTCTTATTTTCATTTTTATAAGACACAGGACATCAATTTCTTAGATTCTTCAGATCTTGGGATCAAATTTATTATAACTAATAAAATGAAATACAGAAAATAAAATGAAATAGTTCTTACTGGAATATTGAATTAATTCACATGGGTTCTTATCATAAAAATGTTGTTTTGCTCAAAGTTTGTAAAGGCTTTTGGTCTTGTAGTCCCTGACACACAGTAACCCAAAATGCTGAGTTGGAAAAATATTTGTACATTAAGATCAAAAGGACATTTAAACTTATTTTGGTTTTGCTCTTAATGTTAATCTAAATAAATCAAAAAACAGTTTTAAAATGCCAGTTCGCAATTTCGCTCCTCTCTGGATCCAAATACATAGCCCTCCTCCATCCTCCTCCACCACAAACACCGGCTGGGGAGGGGGATCTGAGAAAGGGTTAATCAAAAGAACCGCCGCCACTCTGCTACGCAGCCAATAGAGCCCAAAGAGTGATTCACTTCCTGCTTAGGTCTCACAGAAACTCCTGAGCTTCGCCTGCCTAATTTGGAAAGCAAGCTCGGCCTTCCATGATATCATTGGCTTTGCTCACGCCTGGCCAGGTCGAGAAGCTCTGCAATTGGCCAAAGTGGGTGCCAGTAACCGGTGCTCGCAGCTTTGGCTTCCCTGCACCATAGATGTCAAAGGCTGCAGCTGCTCCCTTTGCCACATTATTACTAGTAGGGGAATCCTCACAGACCATGGCCACAGCTGCCTCGAATCCCTACAGCATTCTCAGTTCCAGCTCCCTGATCCATGCGGACTCCGCAGGCATGCAGCAAGGGAGTCCTTTCCGCAATCCTCAGAAACTTCTGCAAAGTGATTACTTGCAAGGAGTTCCAGGCAACGGGCATCCCCTTGGGCATCACTGGGTGACCAGTCTGAGCGATGGGGGTCCATGGTCTTCCACACTGGCCACTAGCACTCTGGACCAGCAGGACGTGAAGCCCGGGCGAGAAGACCTGCAACTTGGTGCGATCATTCATCACCGATCACATGTAGCACACCACTCACCGCACACTAACCACCCGAACGCCTGGGGGGCAAGCCCTGCGCCAAACCCGTCCATCACCTCAAGCGGCCAACCCCTCAACGTGTACTCCCAGCCAGGCTTCACAGTGAGCGGCATGCTAGAGCACGGTGGACTCACCCCACCACCAGCCGCTGCCTCCACACAAAGCCTGCACCCAGTCCTCCGGGACCCCCAGGACCACAGCGAACTGGGTTCGCATCACTGCCAGGACCACTCCGACGAGGAGACGCCAACCTCTGACGAATTGGAACAGTTCGCCAAACAATTCAAACAAAGAAGAATCAAACTGGGTTTTACGCAGGCTGACGTGGGGCTGGCCCTGGGCACACTGTACGGCAATGTGTTCTCCCAGACCACTATCTGCAGGTTCGAGGCCTTGCAATTGAGCTTCAAGAACATGTGCAAGCTGAAACCCCTGCTGAACAAGTGGCTGGAGGAGGCAGATTTGTCCACAGGTAGTCCAACAAGTATTGACAAGATCGCAGCACAGGGCCGCAAGAGAAAGAAGAGAACCTCCATTGAGGTGAGTGTCAAGGGCGTTCTGGAGACGCATTTCCTCAAGTGTCCCAAGCCTGCAGCACAGGAGATCTCCTCGCTGGCAGACAGCCTCCAGTTGGAGAAAGAAGTAGTGCGTGTCTGGTTCTGTAATAGAAGGCAAAAAGAGAAAAGAATGACTCCACCAGGCGATCAACAGCCACATGAGGTTTATTCGCAAAAGGTGAAAACAGATACGTTGTGCCATGATCTCTGACTGGAGGAAACCAGCAGAAGGCCATTCGCACTGGGAGCAGAGCGGATTTCTCTCCTCACTCTCTTTCTCTCATTATAACATCTCTCTCTCTCTCTCTCTCTCTCTCTCTCTCTCTCTCTCTCTCTCTCTCTTAATTCTAACTAATCTTAAAAAAGGGAAACACATATACTCATATTCAGTTTTCTCTAATCTGATACTCAGTTATACTAAATAATCCAGGTGGGGAACTCCTATTCCCTGCTGCCTGGGCAATTTCCTGCCAATCCTCTTTGCTGGTCAATATATCTTGTTTACTTAGTAAGGTTTGGTTTTTTTTGCTTCTCTCTAAATAGAGCAAAGAGTGGGGTAACCTGGGAGCAGGGGTGGGATGGGAAGACAGACGTGTGCCTCTGAATAACCTTTCAGCGCCTTGGTTATAGCAGCTGTATTTCAGGTGAAATCTGTTTTACAATAGAGTAGTTTTGCATTTTTAAAAACTTGTATAATGTTTCTAAAGTCTACAGTGTTTTACTACAAGCTGTACACAATATTTGTGAAATAATTTGTATCTAACCGACCACTACACATTATTATTGTTATCATTATTTTGTGATTGAGCTGATAGTTTTTTAATTACTTAGAATAGGAGTAGGATGGGAAGAAGAAGGAGAGAAATGCCTACCCACTCACCAAAATCTGTATGGAGAGGAGAGGATATAATGGAAAGAGTAGTTGATGAGAATATTAGCTATTTTCCACGGATAGTGAGGTACCCAAGATGAGCAGAATAGGCAACCTGATTAGGTTTACAAACTAGCTCAAAGTAGGAGAGGCATCTTACAGCTTTCTGTCCTGTGTTCTGAAGCTGTAGAGCCCCCAAGGGTACCACAGTTGAAATCCTGATGTTTGAGTATTCCGATGTAGCGCCTCAGGATGACCTGAGAATGGTTTTACGCTGGGGTCCTGGATATATGCCAGTGGATCTCTGTATAGGCTTGCAGCCTAGCCAGATCGACCGCCTGCAGGACCTTAGCTGTGCTCTCCCGGATTTAGAGGATTTAGTCCTCACAAGGCAATGCTTCCTTCAGACCAAGATGGGGAAAAGCTAACTCCTGGCCGCGCTAGCACTTCCCGGTTCAATTCACCTCCAGTTTACAACCCGCTCTCCGTGTAAGAAACCCTCCGGGGGAAGGGTGGTAGTCTGGAGTGGGCGACAGTTACTGTGTTCCGTACAGAACGACAATGAAACGATTGGCAAAGTTCACGGGGATTTTAGTCCAATCAGTACCCCTTGTCTCTAGTGTATATACACTGCTCTCTTCGCTGTCTCCTTGATTCTGACAAGTACAGCTGATGGAAGCGCAAGAGAAGATCGACCAAGCTAGCCAGCGCTGGGGCACTGGGTTCCAGCTTTTTTATCTCTTGGCGCCTGTGTCTCTGAGAGTGTGCCTACGTGCGCGTGCAAACGTGTGTGTAGATAGCTATGAGTATCGTATTACTGTATTTAAAAAACACTCCAAAAATTTGCTAGATTATATGCAAATCCCCAAATTATACAGTTGCAGTGGCTTTATTGCTAGCTCTCTTGTCCACATGCCAGGTTCACAGGTGCACCTCACTCCCAAGGAACTCACGTGTGCTGGGCGGGCAGACAATGCCACAGACAGTTGCAGCCTGCTGTACTTGGGTGGAAGTTCTTCATGCCAGACTCGTAGCCAAAGTGGCCTCTGGGAGTTGCTGCAGTAGATAAAGTTTCAAATTACCTAAGGACCAGAAAACCTTGGCCCCTTGTCTGCAGGCATTGCCAGTGGGTTGCCAGGCCTCTGGCTTAGCATGCTTAGCTCTGACCCCAGCTGCCGGTCGAAAGCATTTATTAATTCAAATTTCAGACCATTTTAGTCTTTTTGTCAAGCTTCTTCATTCTGCAGGTAATTAGATTTTAGTTCTGGGCTTGAATTTTCCATATTGAATTCATGTTTCACAAACTCTTCGCTTAGTTTTTATTGTTGTTTCTGTTTGTTTGTTTGCTTCTATTTTTTTCTTTCCAATTAAATGCTATGATCAAGCCTAAGTTAACCCAAATATTTCAGCCGACTTTATAACTGTACAGTTTTGTATATTAAACGTTTTGAAGTTATTAATTTAAAAAGATCATTTATTCATTTAGTAACATGTATAATAAACACTATTTTCATTAAGAGTTGTTTTTGCAAATTGCCTATTGCCATTGCCAACGATTATTTATTTTCAATAAATTCTGCATTGTGTTTAAGAGGAAGTTCTTTTTAAAATGAGTTGATGTCAAAAAGAAAACAATTAGCAGTAATGTTCGGTGTGAACAGTTTTAGTCAAGGGGTTTATATTTACACAATTATTTTATTGTAAAGATTAAAAAGGTTTAAATAAACCATTTTTTTTCCAAAAAATATCAACTCAGTTTTATTCTGCTGGTCTTATTATGTGCTGTGTGAAGTGGAGCATCTAACCAGAGGCATGTTTTGGGTGAGCAGCACTCTGAATTTCTTCAGGTTAGAAATTCTTAGTCTTATGATTCTTGCTTTTCTTCCTCTAACTTTTGACCTTTCAGTACAGCTCTCTTAACACAAGGAGAATTGTTCTCATTCCCATACCCAGACTTAAATCACATTTACACACTGAATAGTGAGAAAATATGTGGGGAACGTTAGGATCACCCTTTTTCATTGGTGCACTCATCCTTTTTCTATCTACTCCTTTGGGGTGCCCTTCTGGTGAACCTCCTCTGCTGAAAAGGTATTGGACCATGATTATACATAAGCCTGTTTTCCTTTTAAGTCTTTCCCTGGGCCTAGATGTCTAAATAAACTTTATTTTGCCCAAGGGGACTGAATTCTATCTCTCCTATTGAGTTTGGGACAAAAGAAAAAGATTACATGGAGTCCTCTAACAGAAATTTTGATTTCTTATACTCTTCTTCCTGATCCTCTAAACAATTTCAATTATATTATTTGATTTCACAAGATGCTCATTAAAACAAGAGACTGTTAGCTGAGGTGGAACCTGAAGAATAATTTCCCACATAGAAAGCAGGTAGTTTTAAACTTTTGCATGTATAAACATGCAAGGATGCCTTTTTAAAACTTTTTTAGCATATATGGAGTAACAAATAAAGATTTTACCATAGTTTTCCAGCAGTAAATACTTCCTCAACTAATGAGAAATAGATTTTTTTTTTGGTTAGGCAAAGTAAGCTTATTTAATCAGTTAATTAGGTAATAATTATCACATGTAGTGCTTTGCATTTTCACATTGCCTAATCAAGTACAAAAGCATGATACTCTATTCACATGTGTGTGTTGTTTATAAAATACACAACATGTTCTATGCATACATGTAGATATATCTTCTTTCATAAAAGCTGCTATTTTTTTTTCTTTTTTGGCACTGCTGATTTTTTAACCCTGGGCTTTTACACTGAGCTACATTCCACCCCCCCCTTTTTCTTAATTTTTATTTCAAGAAGGGATTTTGCAAAATTCCTAAGTTGCACAAGCTGTGCTCCTTCTTATAGTCTCCCTACTTTACCTTTCCAAAATTCTGGTATTATTGATTTTGTAACAATTAATCTACAACTACAAAACCCATGGTAGTAAGTTTGCAGCTTCTTTTTTGTTTCATGCCAATTAACCTCCTATCATTCAATATCCTTACAAATTTGAATAAAGATTAAAAATTTTCTTACTACTAAGCACAAAAAGCAACCTACAGTGAATCTTGAATTTTTTAATGGACACATAGGCAAATATTTCAATATACATTTACTTAAATATAAATATAGACATAGACATCACTATTTTGAATATTTTATATGTATTATTATTTTATATGTTTATCAAGCTTTATTCCTTTATTGCCTCCTTTCTTTTTCTTAAATTATATCCAAAGCCCAATTGGCTTTTATCATGGCATTCTTATGAAACTTTATGTATCACCAATATAATATTATCTTTAAATATTGGATATCATTGAGACTTCTGACTGGGGCTTGGCTTGTATTGAAGTTGTTGCTATTCTTGCTCCCAACTAAGGCTTTTGTAGGAGAGGCAGCTTTGTCCTTGGTTTCTCTCAGAGTTTCACAACAGTAGTTCTCTCTCATGAAATAATAATGGATGGGTTCAAAAACCAGGGAGATAGATCTTTCACAAATGAGAGGGGGATCCAGAGATGGAAGTGAGGGGAGGGAGTAGAGGGCAAGGAGAAGCAAAAAGAATTAGGATGTTAATTAATTTGTTAATTACATGTACCTGCTTCCTATAATGAATGTAATCTTTATGCTCTAGAAACATGTACTATTAAAAAACTAATAATGCATATAATATAGTGAAGGCAAGAACTTTCATCCCCATCAGCAAATCAAACAAATAAAAAATTTTAAAGTTTTAGAGGAGTATAGGATATGAAAAAGACTGAGCACACAGATGCTATACATCCATAAACAAAGTAAAATATGTACATCAGGTAAATATATTTATGTAAACAGAGTTGTTTTCATACTTGTGGTTCTCTTCATGCCTATTAAAAGTGAAATAAAGTATTAAATTATACCTTTTAGTTTTCCAGCAATGAAAGAAAATAACTATTATCGCTGGAAATTAGTTATCTACTTTTAGAAAGAAAAGAATGTGGGACCTATTGCCTAAATTAGCATAGGATTTACACTTACCTTTAACAAGGTAAAACACTGCTCCCTTGGAAATATTTAACATTCAGATATTTCCCTAGATTCCACGTCAGGCTGCTAATGATGCTGCAGTGCATATAGGTTGTAAATAAAACATATACTATGATTTTTATTCTTTTTTTTTTTTAGAAAAGAAAGGAAGGACAATAGAAAAACAGAAAATGATTGAGTTTGAATTATAGTTTTGTAAATAGAAAAATGTATTTTCCCACCTGTCAGACTTTGAAAAGGCATATGGAATCCCAGAATTGTGAAAATCATTTCTATGACTTGCTGCTTAAAAATTCAAACATGTGAGGGTTTCAAAATATCATTGAAGAGGAAAACAAGAGCAAAACAAAACCATTTGGATTAATATCACTCACATTTAACCATTCTGTAATTTAAAAGAGTAGATTAGTCTTTACACATGCCTTTGGGTAGTGATTTAAAAATAATCCTCCACAAACTGTTCTTCATGATGAACTAAGAGAGAGTAGTAGTATAGTTATATATCTAACATACATATACATACAAAAAATTGTTTACTAATATATATATATATATATATATATATATATATATATATATAATCTTTTTCTTTCTTCCTTTTTTCCTTTCCTCTGTCTCAGTAGTTCTGTCCCTTTGAGCACTTTCTTTCTCTTTCATTATTACAATTTCTATTGTACATATTGGATGTTATTACTCTTTCAGTTTTTTTATTATTTCTTACACTAAGAGATAATACATTATTTACAAATGTTTGTCTGATTTATTTCACATGGGTATATTGTTTGATTTATCATTTTTGTATTTAGATTTTGTAACCTAAACAAATAGTTCTGAGATAACAATGTACAATATGTTAACTAGTATTAATTCCCTGCTTGCTTCTTTTGTTTTTTGAAATTCTGTATCAGTTCAATCCTTTTTTGTTTTAATTTTTAAAACAAAATTAAAAATAATCCTCCAGTGCCAGAGATTTTGCTCAGTGGCATAAGTGCTTGCCTGGTAAGTGTGAAGTTGTGAGTTTGATCCTCGGTATCAAAAAAAAAAAAAATGCTTACATCAAAAATAATCCTCCAGTTACTTGTTTCTTGATGTTAATTTTTAAAACGTTAAGAAAAGCAGATGTCAAATATATTTGAAAACAACTAAAATAAAAAATAGATGAAATTAAAGTATGCTTTATTAAGACCTTTATTAATGTAACAATTGCAAAATTAGATTACATAAAAAGTACAGCTTCAAAAATCAAATTAAATTCTATAACCTCTAAGAAAAAGAAGAGTCAACTACAAGTATCCAAAATACTACCCCACTAAACTTAATCCACAAAATTAAATATTTCTCTATTCCAATAAAAAATGTTAAAATCTATGTTTCTTTCTTAAAAATAAGTATAGAATTTCAGCTATTTACACATTATCCCACTCAGTAGATTGAACATCGGGTTCTCTTTATAACACAATTTGTTATCAAGAAATTTTGTTTTTATAAAATGGGTTGATCTTGGAAGCCTTACAGTGGAGCTGGCTTATTCAACTACTAAAAGGATCTTATTATGAGATGGCTTTGTCCTGTAAGTAAGGAGACATATTTCATATTTCTTTAGAGTTCTTAGGAAACTCCACAGTATTTACAATAAATATATGACACATACTCAATATCATAACGGTTCCCCCTGTCATCTTCACGTTGACCCACCCCCAGGAAACACTAAAACAGATTGTCCTCAAAGCAGAAAAAAAAGAGTTTCAATGATTCATGTAGGTATTTTTTTTTTATTTCTCCAGCTTTGCAAACATTCTGAAGTTGTGTAGATATTATTCTGAAATATTCAACTGAAACAAAAGCAAATTTTTTTTTCTAAATTTTGTGTTATGCATTAAATATCAAAAATCTAGTTTGTGCAATCTTCCCCCCAACTTAAACAGACACACACACACACACACACACACACACACACACACACACCAGTGAGTTTACTGCATATAAGTTTTATCTTGTAAACAATGTCTATGTCAGATATTACTGCAAGGAAACAGTCATATAAACATTTTTAACACTCGTTTCTTTTCTTTCCAAGTTAATTTTCATATATTATAGACTCCCACTGTCGTATTTGTTGTGAATGAAAACTAGCCTTTTACAGACATAGAAAAACTTTCTGTAAATAGGTGAAAAATATTTGTCCATATCTCCTCACACAAATCGATGGTTAAAAGACAATTTTAACAGAATTTATACTTGGTAAAAGATTTTTCTTTCTTGTTCTTCAATTTGACCAGAGAAATCTACAAATAGCTATCCATGTTATCTGCAAAAAGCACTGCTTTGTATTCTATTTTTACAATAGATAAAACAAGGAGTCATGAATATGGTGTTATAAATCATTTGGTTTTAAATGGCACACGATTTCAAGCTGCAGAAAAAAAAATATCTGAGTGGACTCATTGTAATGAGTATTACTTATCCCAATGTCTTACAATTCAGCTA